CTCCCCTCCCCTCCCCTCCTCCCATATCAGGTGCAGCTCATTACAAGTAATTAGATTTTTCAAGATATCACTATAAGTTCACCTGCACATGAAATAATTACTAATTCTCTCCTAATTATGTTTTCTATTTTTTTTTCTCCCACTCGCCCTCTCTCATGGCTTACAGAAATGTGCTGTGTATTCCCAACACTTTAATTTGTCAATGCAATATAAACGCGTGATGCTGAGATGGCTGGAATTTACAGATACCCCCTCTGTGATCTGGTCATTTGTTATCTCATCTTGACCTTTTGAGAAAGCTGACCCAGTTCACCCAAAAGTATTTAATCCAATCAGTCGAAATTCCAGTGTACTTACATTAATGTGCTACTGCCAGCAGTTCCCTGTGATCCATAATCAACCACCTCTGCTGCTGCAAACGACAGGCTGACTTCCACTTAAAGCTCCCACTTACAACGTGCCTCTAAGAAAACCTTGATTCAATGAATCCCACGCTACGCTGTCAGAAGTTATGTTCAAATTGTACTGGTTTATTTACATCCGTCGTTTATAAACAGTAACACAAACATCTTTACATGAAAAAAATCTCATTGCTGAAGTAGGCACGGAGTCAGAGACTCTTCAGGATATTTTCAGAAGGGAGTAGGAAGAAGAAAACGTAATACAACAGCTGCTGGGCAAAACTATAAATACACGAGAGTTGGCCCAGGTGCAATTTCATGCAAATATCTGTAATCGTTCAAGTTCTAATGGTGTTTACTCAGATAGTAAGGAAAAAAAAAAAAGGAATTAGTTCCAGAATTAAGGTGCCCTAGCTTGATTCCTAGTAAAATAACTTAGAATAACTGGTTTTTATAAAGGTCAGTTTATTTTTTCTCCTGATGATGTACCAGTTCACAGGTTTTGACTCAAACACTCAGAAAACTTCACACAGCAAAACTAACCCCTAACATTTTAACTTCACAATTTTTGGTAATTTCCACAAAGTTCTCTACAAAGATGCTATGCCTCAGCCATAAGGACATTCCTATACTGGGCTTCCTAGCAACAGATCCGTTCCTGTACCATGTAGAAGGCCAGAAATGCACTATTAAACAGCTGCCTTCTCTCAAACATTCACTAGCTTACAATTATTAAAGGAGTATAAACAAATGTTGAACAAATGAAGATGGCATTTATTGCAAGCACACAGCACTGGACATCTTCACCTTATTTGTATGCATTAATTTTCTAGACACACCTTCAATCTTCAACACTCCTTCAGTCAACATAAACTGAACTGAAGGCTGTTAAAAGCCTAACTTATATTTTAGACATTTTACTTGACAGGAGCCAGATTGCTGGTTTTCAACTGCCGTACACATTTCAATACTTGCACTCATCCTCACACGAGGAGCAATTTCAACCTATCAAATGTAAAATTTAGCATAATTAATGAAATCACAACCCTGTGGGAAAGCTTTATTGCGCATGGTTCGTTTTGGTATTTAAGGATACCCTTATAATCAATTCCAATTATTTAACTTCATAGTGGAGAGGACTGCTAAAATGTTAATTTTCCAAATTGTTTGCATTTCTTCCCCTTCATCTGCAGCCCAAGCTGCACTTTCCCATTTCTAACTGAAAGGAAGCACTATTCCTAAGATTTTATCTGCTCTGCTTACAAAGCTAAGTTTTTAATAGTTTAAGTTACTACCCAGTAGGCAAAAATCAAATTTATAGACTGTAGGCTATGGAGATATTTTACTTTCAAATATCAGTCATTTAAAGCCATCCTGTCTTCTACTGCTTCTCCACTTTGCTTCGCTCTTTTAACGTACTTGTATGAACCTATAAATATGCACATCACTCATATTAAAGGTGCATCACAATGAAACAAACTGACCTTTATAATAAGTACTTCTACAAAATAAAAGAAATTAAAAATCCTGTTCAGAAATTGGTAATAATTTACCCTATCTTAAGCCTGCTATCCAGGCACTCCCATCAGTAAACTGAAAAAAACACAAAGTTAGTATTTGATTTGGAAATCATCAGCTCATGTCCACATACAGTATCTTTGTTACTTCTTCTTTATAAACTCTTTTCTACAACGTCTTTAGTTATTAACTCTCCAAGGCATCCAATACTTTCATGATCTGTTGTTTTATGGCTTTGGTTGCATCACCTGCATTTGGAATCAGATACCTTAAAAAAAAAAAAAAAAAAAGCCATCATTAATTCACTACAAAACTTTCAAGCATCAGCTGAAATTCTTACTTTCATTTTTCTTTCTTGCACAGATTAAGGGCAAAGAGAAGGGGAAGCTATTAAAATGAAGACCTACTGAGGAATTAATATATATTTTTCACAAAACATTTTCTGTACGTGAAATTTTATCTGTTGAGAATTTCACAAACCACACAAACCAGAAAGAAAAAATTCTTTATTAATTAACAATGGCATAGACTGCTACAGGTACCAATGTCTGACGCATGTATGGCAGTCCTTGGTTTTCTTGTTGTTTTTTATTCCTAAGGATATCTCCAGGTAATTTAAGTTACCATCTCTTTTGTATTTGCTCCAGTCAATAAGCTAGTGAGGAAGTAATTCAACAAGCAGCATAGCTCCCTGCAATATGTTTAACTTACCCGTGTTGGACATAATACTGAACTCATTTTACCCTAAGCAGCCAACAGGTATAGAAAAACTTTCCTGGTGAATCAGGAAAGTCATCTCCCACTTATTCTGAAAACAGAGTGCTTGCTGCGCACCATTTGCAGCAAGAAAAAGGATGAGGAAATGACCAACTGATGTCAGCAGCTTTGTTAAAGCAATGTCAAGCTTTGCTGATGAAAAACAAACAAACGAACATCCCTCTGGCATCTTCCTCAGCATTAAATATTTCAGTGCTAATCATGGCAATATCTAATTTTCAAAACTCAGGTTTTCAGGGGTTCAGAGTTTGAGATCAGGCCCTTATACAAGATACAGGAAAAACTGAACGTCTCAAAAAAGCATACCACTGAACAAGGACCTCTCCCTTTAAATCCCACCCTTCAGAAAGCTGTACTTCAGGGAGCAGATACATGAAATGAAGTGGGCAACCAAGGCATTACAGCAAGAAACTCTCGTACTCATCTCACCCTCAGCAACTGTCACTGGGGATTCTTGAGTTCCCCTGGCTTGTTCTCCTTACTTTTTCACTCTACTGGCAGATATCCTTTCTAGCTCATTTCTGAATATCTGCTCCTAAACAAAATCTATTACTTTTCAACTCGATTTTGGGAATTACAGCACACATCTGATTTCCAGCTGACAGCATCTTGTGTATCACTGCTACTAATACAGGTGCTATGAAGAGGGCTTACCTTTCAACTGCCAAAATTTCTATGCCTGAAGTATTGCTATTTCCGTATTTAAACGTGATCAGTTCTGGGTGCTTCTTCTTGGATGTGATTTTGACTACAGAGTTGAGTGCCTGTCGAGACTGTATGTAAGCCAGTCCTTTCCGCGACGGAATCTCCCTCAAACAATACATATGGGTTGCTGTTACTAGGAGATGACTTGAAGGGAAAGAAAGAAGGCAGTTACATTTTTTATTTAACTAAATATCAGCTACTTACAAAGCTAAATTTTACAAACAGGTCACACAGAGAACTAGGTAAAACGGTTTGCAATCTAAGAAACGGTTTGATACTTCTGTAAATTAGGTATGTCTACAAAATACTTCCCATTTTCCCAGAGTACTGCATCATAACCATTTTTAAAAACAAGCATGGCAGCCTCATCAGCATACATAATCAGAGTGAGCAGTCTGCATCATCACCTCATCACAAATGTTATGAGTGCTATCAATATCAAAAATGAAAACCACCTGAAACAAGTCAGATCATGCTGTGTGTCTCCAGCTTCTGTCTTCCATCCTTCAATCCAATCCCCAGTGCCATCTCTTCATCTAGAGATGCAACTCTACATGTGAAGCATCAGACCTAAGTCATGACTGACTGTCACTATACAAGCACTAAGGTGGAACTGCTCACTTGCCCACTCAGTTCAAGACCCACTTTTGACTTCTTTCCAGAAGCAATGCATGTGTGTGACAATGTACAAGTTGAGTGACAGATCACTCCACGTTTCATATGACATATCATTTTATGCTTCCATTTGATTTATGTTAACAAAAAATAAAAGACATTAACAGACCGTGATGAAAGAGAACCATCATCGTAATTTTCTGTTATCCATATTCAGTAGGATTTGTACTCTTTAGGGAAGCTAAATTGCAGTAAGCATAAAATTCTAGAATGGTTTGTGTTGGAAGAGACCTTAAAGTCCACTGAGTTCCAACCCCCTGCCAAGGGCAGGGCTGCCACCCACCAGCTCAGGCTGCCCAGGGTCTCATCCAACCTGGCTTTGAACACCTCCAGGGATGGGGCACCCACAGCTTCTCTGGACAGCTGTGCCAGGGCCTCACTGCCCTCTGAGTAAGGAATTTCTGCCTAACATCTAACCTAAATCTCCCTAAAGCATCATTTTCTACTCTTGCAGGTTAAACAAGGTCAATGAATCTTAGGGGCAAGATGAGCAAACAGTGTAAGGCAGAAAGCTAGATAAGGAAAAACTGAAGCAATAGGTACTTGGGTCTACCTGGTCTTGAAAGTAAGCCTACATATACTAAGAACATTTTTCTTCCTTTCTTGTTTTACAAAGTAAACCTTCATACTATGTTTTGTATAGTGGTAACATTTTGTTCTTACATTGTTTCACATCTTCATTTTCTGATATAGTATCAAGA